TATATATATATATATATATAGATATGTGTATAGATTTTTTTTTTTTTCCTCGGCGGAAGGCGGTGGAAGGCCAGCGAGAGAGGCGGTGGAAGTACATCTCGAGGCCGGCTCCGCTGGCGGAAGGCCGGCGGGTGCTGGCGGAAGTAAGCATCGGTATCGTTTAGCCGATTGTCATCCCCATCCCCATCCCCATCGAGACCCCCACCAAATTGCCACCCCAGTTGGGGATGCGCCCCTCGAAACTCGAAGGGAACGACCTATATCCCCATCCAGTGGGGGTACATCGGCCAGTGGGGCCCAGGCCACGCCGCTGGGGATGGGGATTGGTTACACGATGCTCAAAACGTCCGCCCTCAGGGTTCGAGTCAGGATCTCCGCTGCGGCCCGCACGTGTCCCTGGCCCGACGTGTCTTCAGTTGTTCACTTCACTCGGTAAACCCTGGGGGCCCTCTTGGCCTCGCGGGGGTGCTCTGGAGGCCGTGGGGGCCCACTTGTGGATCCTGGGAGCGCCCTCGGCCAGGGACACCTCTGGCAATAGCAAGCCCAGGAGGGGCTCCCAGGGCCGTTTCTGAATAGATCTTGGCGATCGTCGTCGTCGTCGTCGTCGTCGCCGGCGTCGTCGTCGTCGTCGTCGCCGTAGTCGTCGTCGTCGTCGTCGTCGTCGTCGTCGTCGTCGTCGTCGTCGTCGTCGTCGTCGTCGTCGTGGTCGTCGCCGTCGTCGTCGTCGTCGTCGTCGTCCTCGCCCTCCGTCCCCTCAAGTGTCCCAGGCACGTAGTCGTAATCGCAGGTACTTTGCAAAGAAGCACGCAGCAATTAAGCTCGCGAGCGGTTGCCGCCGACCAGGAGGCCTGCGAATCAACAAATTCGAATATGTTCTGGTTTGGTTAACTGGGCTCTTTTAAGAGAGGCGCTGCCGCTTTTTGTTGTTTTTTACTACAGTTTTGTACGTTGTTTCTAGTTAAGATTTTGCAGAGAAAGCTATGAAACAAATGCCAAAACGCTAAAGACAACGGTATGTGTCCTTAGGTTGTGTTGTTATGTTTGTTCAGCGTTTCCAGGCCCGTCGTTGTGGATCTTAATCATTGTTTTTCGTTCCTCTTGCTTGCCAAGGGCTGCGCTTGGTCTTCGCTGCCGTCTTCGCTCCCGCTCTCCCTTTCTCGCCGCCTCCCGTTTCTCCCTCTCCGTGCGCAGAGCGCAGAGCTAACATCGCCACACAAGCGCCCTCGCACAGGTCCTGCACCAGCGCGCAACCGGCTCGTCGCCGCCTCTGACTGTCAGAGCGCTCGGCGTTAGGACGCTCGGCGTGAGGACGCTCGGCGTCAGGACGAGACCCAGGGTGCTCCTCGCGAGCCCTGGATCGCCGCCAGGGTGCTCCTCGAACCCTGGCGGCTGTCCTCGCCGCTGGTTGTCAGGGCGCTCGGCGTGAGAGCGCTCGGCGTCAGAACGAGACGCAGCGGGTGTTCCTCGAGCCTTGTTGTCAGAGCGCTCGGCGTTAGAACGCTCGGCGTCAGAGCGGGGTCCAGGATGCTCCTCAAACCTTGGGTCGCCGCCAGGGTGCTCCTCGAACCCTGGCGGCTCATCGTCGCCACTGGTTGTCAGAGCGCTCGGCGCTAGAACGCCCCGCGTCAGAACGTGATCTTTGGCGCTCCTCGAGCCCTGTGTCGCCGCCAGGGTGCCCCTCGAACCCTGGCGGCTCATCGTCGCCGCTGGTTGTCAGGGCGCTCGGCGGTAGAACGCTTGTCGCCAGCGCGAGACCCAGGGTGATGGGGGGAGGGGAGATGGGGGGTCTGAAGCCGTCCAAGCCACTGGACCTTTTGCGGGTTTGTGGCTCCTCTCTGAGTCCCTTCGGGGCCATCTTGGAACCGTCTTGGGGTCATTCGAGAATCGCTCGCGCCGGCGCGCGCTGTTCTCGCGCGCCTCGCGCCAGTGCGACGCGGCCGACACGACGCAGGGCCGCGGAGCGCGGAGGGCGTGGGCAGGCCGCCGCGGCGGCTGCGGCGAGCGGGGCAGCCGCGCCAGCCGCGCAGGCGCCGCCCCGCGCGCTGCCACGCCGGCGCCTGCGATCGAAACGCGGCGCCCACGCTGAGCCCGGGCCACCTCCGTTTCCGTTCTTTAGGGCCAGCGCTTGGCGCCGCCAGTCTCGCGCCCGCAGAAGGCTCGATCGCGGGCCAGGGGCGCCGGGCGACCGGCCGCCCTGGCGGCCCGCCGCCCGCGCCAGCGGAGGCGCCTTCTGGCCCGCCGCCTGGCGGCCAGGCGCCTGGGCCAGCGGGGGCGCCTGCTGACGAATGGTCCGACCTTGCCCCGGCGGCGCCCGAGGAGCTCCCCTGGGGGGCTCGCCTCCGCCGCCGAGGGTTTCCCAGCGGCTGCGCGCCATAGACGCGCTAGTGATCGATGGGTGATGCTGCCCCGGGACACGCGCGCTCTTCTTCAGAGGGGGGGGGCGACAAGCCGGCGGGGGCGGGCCCGCGGGGGGGGGATGGGGCGGGGGGCGGGCGGGGGGATGATCAGCGCGATGGGGGCGAGGAGACACATGGGAAATAACAGTGACGTGCGAGGGGGGGGCGCGCCCTCTTTCAGCGATGATGCAGTGGGGCAGGGCGCGTTGCTCGCGCGCTTGTCCCAGCGCCCGCGCGTTGAGCTGCGCGTTGCGGCGTTTTTCGCGGAAGTTTCTTCTTTAGTGATGCTTCGCGTGCCGCCATGAGCGTGTCGCCCTCGCGGGCCCTCGCGACTTCCTTCACAGACAAGCGGGTGGCAGACGATCGTGGGGACGAGGAGAGAGGGGCCGCGTTGTCGACGACGGGGTTCGACCGCGCTACCAGTTACATGTTCTGTGTTCAATTCTTGACGCTTCGCGTATCCCCACCAGCCCGTCCAGAAACGACGCCCAGGCGAGTAGAGGGTCGTCCTGAGGGGCTTTTCGGCGTCTTGGGTGCCTCGGGGGGGCCTCTGTGGGCCGTTCGGGATCCTCTTTGGGGCCTCCTGGGGGCCTCTTGGGGCCTCTTGGGGCCATCTTGGGGCCTTTGGGGGCCTCCTGGGCGCTTCTTGGGGCCATCTTTGCCCCCTCAGAAGGCCAAAATAGGGCCCAAACCATAGTAAAAAGGCCTCTGGGAGCACCTTGGGTGCCTCTGGGGGGTCTCTTGGGGCCTCTTGGGGGTCTCTTGGGGGCCTCCTGGGGGCCTCTTGGGGGGCCTCTTGGGACCATCTTGGGGCCATCCTGCGGCCTCTTGGGGCATCCTGGGGGCCTCTTGCGGCCATCGTGGAGGAAATCGATCAAAGAAGAGGGGAGCTCTAATTAGAGCTGCCCCCTCAGAAGGCCAAAATGGGGCCCAAACCATAGTAAAATTATCCCAGTGCGACCCTACCTAGGAGTTGGAGCCCCTAGGAAAGCAGCATTAGTAGTAACAGTAAAGCTAAACTAGCTAAGCTAAAGCTAAGCTAAAGCTAAGCTAAAGCTAAGCTAAAGCTAAGCTAAGCTAAGCTAAAGCTAAGCTAAAGCTAAGCTAAAGCTAAGCTAAAGCTAAGCTAAAGCTAAGCTAAAGCTAAGCTAAGGCTAAGCTAACACTAAGCTAAAGCTAAGCTAAAGCTAAGCTGAAGCTAAGCTAGAGCTAAGCTAAAGCTAAGCTAAGGCTAAGCTAAAGCTAAGCTAAAGCTAAGCTAAAGCTAAATCTAAATATAAGCTAAAGCTAAGCTAAAGCTAAGCTAAAGCTAAGCTAAAGCTAAGCTAAAGCTAAGCTAAAGCTAAGCTAAATCTAAGCTAAAGCTAAGCTAAAGCTAAGCGAACGCTAAGCTAAAGCTAAGCTAAAGCTAAGCTAAAGCTAAGCTGAAGCTAAGCTAAAGCTAAGCTAACGTTGAGCTAAAGCTAAGCTAAAGCTAAGCTAACACTAAGCTAAAGCTAAGCTAAAGCTAAGATGAAGCTAAGCTAAAGCTAAGCTAAAGCTAAGCTAAAGCTAAGCTAACACTAAGCTGCAGCTAAGCTAAAGCTAAGCTAAAGCTAAGATAAAACTCAGCTAAATATACGCTAAAGCTAAGCTAAAGCTAAGCTACAGCTAAGCTAAAGCTAAGCTGAAACTAAGCTAACGCTAAGCTAAAGCTAAGCTAAAGCTAAGCTAAAGCTAAACTAACACTAAGCTGAAGCTAAGCTAAAGCTAAGCTAAATATAAGCTAACACTGAGCTGAAGCTAAGCTGAAGCTGAGCTAAAGCTAAGCTAACGCTAAGCTAATACTAAGCTAAAGCTAAGCTAACACTAAGCTGAAGCTAAGCTAAAGCTAAGCTAACTCTAAGCTAAAGCTAAGCTGAAGCTAAGCTAACACTAAGCTAAAGCGAAGCTAAAGCGAAGCTAAAGCTAAGCTAAAGCTAAAGCTAAAGCTAAAGCTAAAGCTAAGCTAAAGCTAAAGCTAAGGCTAAAGCTCCCAGGGGACTGGGGGAACCGCGGGGCGGGGACTGGGGGAACCGCCCGGGGCGGTTTCCATTGCCCGGCCCCTTTAGCTAACAGAGTAAGAACCCTTCTAGGCAGAGCCTAGGTAGGGAATCAATGATTTTGGCGTCCTCGCCGAGGCCGTTTTGGACGCTCTGACCGCTCCCCGCCCCTCCTGTCCAGGTCAGTGGGGAGGGGGTAGGGGGAGGGGTAAACCCCTCCCCGAAGGGGAAGAGAGAGGGGTGGAAGAGGAAACGCCCTAAACCACCGACGCCCAGAGGGCTGGTGGGATTTCCTCCGCGGCGGTCGTTCGCCGCGGCCCCGCAAAAGAAGGGGGGCGGCAAGAAACTGGTGGGGGCTGCGCACGGGCCGCCGCGTAGAACGGAACATCGCGGTAGAAGGCGCCAGTCGTGTTTGGGAGGTTTGGGGGATATGGGATGGAGGGTGTTGGGGGAGGGGGGAAGGCACTTGCGCACCCTTGCGACGCAGTCGCTCCGAGGCCCGGCGTATTTCATCGCCATTGCGGCAATGGTTGGGGCAAGTTCGGCTGCCCTTGCGTCCTGTGGTTTCTTGGTCGAGTCCAGCTTGAACTCTCTGACAGGGCCGCCCGCGGGGACACTCATCTGGTTCTCCATGTGGATAGACTGTATGCCGGCGTGAGCCCCAGACAGTGTGCTTCTAGCAATGTGTGTATTTATATGTATAGAATCATGTATAGAATTTGTGCGACCTATGTGGTGCAACTTGCGTTGTGCAGTCTATGTTGCGCCATTCACCCCGTTCGAAGTTGTCACCTGCACTGCTCGCGCAATCATCCCAACCGCCCACCGTAATTTGGTTTGCAAAACTCATGCGGCGGCGATTGCCATGACTGCTGGGCGCTGACGGCGCATCGCTGTGCCCGCGCAAGCGCGCAGGCTCGCGCGCAGAGCGACCAGCCAGTCTAGCGCGACCGACGCGGCCGCGGTGGCGCTGACAGTTGGGTATTCTCCACCGCGTCTCGCAGGCCGCGTTGACGTGCGGGTACTTCAGTGCGAGTCGGTGATTCAGGCGGGTGCGGTATCATGTCGCCGTCGACAACGGCGGACATGATGATGAAACTGACGGTGCCAGCGACGGTGATGGCAATGACGACGGTAAGGGCAATGGCGGCGCCGATGCCTCTTGGAAGAACCTTGGGGGCCTTTTGGGGCCTGGGGACCTCTTGGGGCCTCGTGGGAGCGTTTCGGGGCCGAGGGCCGAATTGTCCGTTCGGGTTCCCCCGTCTGGCCGCGCTCTCTGAGCCGTTTTGGATGCCTTTTTTTCGGGCCGCCGTGGAGGCGTTCTGCCTTGTTCTGGAGTCCTCTCGGGCTGTTTCGGGGCCCCCTTGGAGGCCACTTGAGGCGATCTTGGGGGCCTCATGCGCCGTCTTGGAACGGCGGGAAGCGGTGAAGGCGAGACCGCCCAAATCCGCGAAACATTCAAGGGACAATCAATGAATTTGGCCTCCTGGGGGCCTTTTGGGAGTGCTTTTGGAGGCTGTCTGGGGCTTCCTGGAGACCCCTCGGCAGTTTGGAGGGCGTGCGCGCGTTTTGGACCGATCGTTTGGCGATGGGGGGTCCTCTCGGGCCCTCGCGGGGGCATCTTGGGACACTCTTGGCCTGTCTTTGCCCCTTCTGTTTTCCGGGGGTCCCAGGGAGCGATGTATATCTGACCCCCTCCCCGTCCCCCGGGGAACCCTCCCCTACTCTCCCCTGCGCCCCCGGGGCCCCTCGTCGGGGATCGCTCGGGAGGTGTCAGGGGGAAGGGGCGTTCTTTTGACTCGATTACGACATTGTTCGATTTTTCTTTCGTTGAGAAGCCGGAGGAGGAGGAGGGCGCAGGGAATGGGGACGACGGACATGACGGCAGACGGAGACGACGCGTCGCACATACAAGCCCGCTGTACACGCCGGCGGGGTCGGCGGAATTCTGGATGTCCAAATCCTAGTCCACTGTAGGCGCTTTCCTACTTCAGTGTCGACCGGCTTGAATTTTTTCATTCTTTCCAGGGGACCGACGGGTTTGGCTTTCTGTTCGAGTTCTCGGTTCCCCAAACCGCCGTGGACTTGCGCGGGCGAGCGAGAACACGGACGCGAAAACGGTTACGGTAATGGTGCTCTTGGATGCAGGACGTTTATTGTTTTTCGTTCTTCCTACCCGTCGCAGATTGCGCGGGCGCAAGCGAAACCGGGCGCGTGAACAGTAGCGCGGAATTGTGCCCGCACTGATGCGTTTGCCAGCTTTTTTTAATACGTTTTTTTTTTTTTTTTTTTTTTTTTTTTTTTTTTTTTTTTTTTTTTTTTTTTTTTTTTTTTTTTTTTTTTTTTTTTTTTTTTTTATTTAAATAATATGTATTGTTGTTAAACGCTATATATACTTTTTTTATTATATATAAAAAACAAATGCATTGTTTTTCCTCGTCAACCGACGTGTACTGCGCGGGTCGACGCGCGCGCGCGGGCGCGGGAACTGTAGTCACCCAGGCGCTTTCGGAGACATGAAGCATTGTTTTGAGTCATACGGTTCTCATGCCCACCGTAGGTCCCTCGGGTGGGGGCGAACGCGAGCGGGTGCGACAACATATCATGCCAGGACGTTTTTGATGGGCACCAGTTCGGTCCGTTGTACATCTTGAGTCGGTCCGTTTTGAATCCTGAGTCGCTCCGTCTTGGATCTCGCAGCGGTCCGATTAACCTTCTGAATCGGTTCGCTGTGGCACGCGGTCGGTCGGCTCACTGTCCAGAAACGGACCAGGTTGCGACCTGGTCCGACGAAGCTCGTTGAGCCACCGAAAGGACCGATTCACGATGCAAAAAAGGCAGATTCACGATTCAGTGCGGGCCGATTCGTGATCCGGATTAAGACCGACTGGCAATCCTGACCAGAATAGATTGCGGCCTGGTCTTTTCTGTTCGTCCGCCGCGGCCGCGCCCGCCACCCACTTCCCCGTCACCCCCCATGGCCCGTCCTCATCCCTCCTATCTCCTCCTTCCCCATCTTGGGGTGCAACTCCTGAGAGGTTGAATTCAGCATCGGCGCTGGTATATCCGTAGTCGAATGCAGGCATACTCTAATACCGCTCGATCCCGCTTGCGGCTGGATTGGTCCCTCAATCGATCCTCATCGCCTTCTTGTCCTTTTGCCGGAGACCTCCCATGGGTTGCCTCCTAACCTCCTCCTCCTCCTCCTCCTCCTTCTCCTCCTCTCCTCCTCCTCCTCCTCCTCCTCCTCCTCCTCCTCCCTCTCCTCCTCCTCCTCCTCCTCCTCCTCCCCCTCCTCCTTCGTCCTCCTAACCGCCTCCTCCTCCTCCTTCTCCTCCTTCTTCTCCTTTAATCTTTCGCAGCCTGCTGAGCGCTCCCGAGCGCCCGTCGCGTCGTCGTCGTCCTCCTCCTCCTCCTCCTCGCCCCTTCGTCCCCTTCCTCCCTCCGCGGCGGCCGCGCCCTGGGGCCCACCTGCACTGCGCACCGCGAAAGCCGCCCCGCCTGGCCTCCCCACCCTCCGCGGCCTGGCGCCGGCCCGCCCCGTGCCGCGGCCAGGCTCCTCTCCGAGCCGCCGTCGCTGCGCGACCTCTCCGAGATGCCGGCCCGCGCTCCGCACGTCGATCGTCGACCGTCGACCATCGACCGTCGACCGTCGATCGTCCTCGTCGTTGCGTCGTCGTCGTTGCGTCGTCGTCGTTGCGTCGTCCTCGTTGCGTCGTCGTCGTTGCGTAGTCGTCGTCGTCGTCGTCGTCGTCGTCGTCGTCGTCGTCGTCGTCGTCCGTCGTCGTCGTCGTCGTCGTCGTCGTCGTCGTCGTCGTCGTCGTCGTCGTCGTCGTCCGTGCCCCCTCCTCCCGCGCGCTCCTGGGTAGAGCGCCGTCGGCGGCCCTTGAAGGTCTTCGGGTTTACCGCGCACGCGCGCGCGGGGGGGTGGGGGGCGAGAAATATGGGAAGGAGGAGGATGATGAGGAGGAGGAGGAGGAGGGAGGGAGGGAGGGAGGGGGGGGGGGGGGAGGGAGGGAGGGGGGGAAGGGAGGGAGGGAGGGAGGGGAGGGAGGGAGGGAGGGAGGGAGGGAGGGAGGGAGGGAGGGAGGGAGGGAGGGAGGGAGGGAGGGAGGAGGAGGAGGAGGAGGAGGAGGAGGAGGAGGGGAGGAGGAGGAGGAGGAGGAGGAGCGATATATCCTACTAAAGCTATCGTTGCTGGGTCCAAGACGGCTACGTCGGAGGCCAAGGTCTATGTCATGCCGCTGCTGGAGGAAATCTCCACCACCACCACAGAGAATGCAGCGGCATCCGTCCATATTGACGACATCACCTCGTCGGCGTGGAGCTTCGGTTTGGAGGATTGTGTTCAGATCCTACACCGGTTTGGGAAGCGTCTCCAACAAGGCCAACAAGGGCTAATCTCGCTCCACCTCCCCCTTGCCGTAGAGAAACTAGCTCTCACATCCAACTCCGGGGCTTTATTAGCTAGGGCCAAAGAAGTGCTCGGAGCAATCGCTGGATCCCCAGTAGCCTCTGCCGGGAACCTTGGGATTGACTTTAATTCAGGCAAACACAAGAGGTTTGCCGGGGCCATTGCCATCCGCAAAGTTAGATGGGCCAAGACCCACTCGAGATTTTGCCGCCTCCGCCGTGTGTGTTGTAAGAAGCCCAAGGACCGAGCCCGGTTTTTCACTACAGGAGTCAGGTCTGCTATTTCCTATGGTAGTTCTGTGCATGGATTTACACCTCACGAAATCGGACGACTGCGACGGATGGGACGTGTTGTATCGGTCTTTCAGTTACGAGGGGCCCGCACGGACATCTGGTGGCAGATACACGATGTGAAGGGCCCACTTTACTTATGTGCGAGTACTCTGGAAAGGTACTGCTCCGAATGGTGGAGGGCCACAGCTGGGCGACCAGAGTTCCCCCACCCTTCTGATGGGTTGGGCCCCAAAGAGCTCCAGTCGTACTTCGAATCCACAGCAACGGCATTGTCCAACTCTGCCAACAAATCCTGGCTTGGCAAATCCACGGGGCCCCTCAGTGACATGATGCTCTGGGTTCAATACGGCGGTTGGCATTTCGAGAACCCTACGACCCTCAAGCCTAGATTTGGGGAGCCCATGAACATTCTCGAAGTTCCACCATCTAAGATACGTGATCTATTCGTTGCGGACCTTAAGGGGCAATGGGCAGCCCAAGATGTCGCCAAGGAGCTGTGCCTACGGGCCCCGCCACCACCTGACCGGTCTGGCGTGGAAGGGGATTGGATCCAATTGCGGAGAGCCCTCAAGGCCGCCACGAAGCATCTATCCCACGAGGAGCTCCTCTGTGTCCGCCACTATGTGTGCGGATCTGTCATCACGGGCGATACTCTCTCCTCCTGGAAATACAACGTGGACCCTACCTGCCCTTTCTGCGGTCCCCGCGACACGCAGCACGACAGACTCTGGACATGCTCACATGGTGCGGAAGTGCGGGCGGAGCATTTCGATAGCGAGTTCATCGACGCTGCTAGCACCGCCAGCCAGCTCTTCGCCCACCTATGGCCACCTACAACAGTGGTGGGGCCTCTCCAGCAAGATTGGGACACACGGTACAATGATAGCAATGGGGATTGTGCCCCATTCCAGTTTGGCCCGCACGCGGAATTTTTCATCGACGGCTTTTGCCTGGACCCAGAGATACACTACCTCTCTCGGGCTGGCTGTTCAGTCATCGAGCTTAATCCCGATAATACTCTCAAAAGGGGTATGTTTGGAGCCCTTCCCGCTTCCTTCTCCCAGACATCGGTGGACGCTGAACACGGAGGTCTGCTCATGGCAGCCTTACATTCCGTGGCGGGACATACCAACACATATGTCGTGGATTGCGCTACCCTTATGCGTAAGACCGTCAAGGCATGCATTGACGGGCGGACCCACTTTTCTCAAGTCTGGAGGCACATTTCCCAATCCCTTCCTAGAAGTGAGTGGCTGCAGCTGGTCAAGACCAAGGCCCATAGGAAGGAGGAGGAGGAGGCGGTGGACGAGCAGGACCGTCGGTATCTTCTGGGCAACAAGGCGGCAGACTTTTACGCTAAGGAAGGGGCTTCTATGCATCGCCCCCCTCCAGCGGAGCTGGACAGCCGAGCGGCCGCCTACGACATGCTGGTAAGGCTACTCATTGGGGCAGGGAAAGTTCTGGAAACCTGGCCCAAGTCGGAGGATCTCTGGGGGCCACTGGAAAAGCTCCCCTCGCAACCCATGACACCTCAGGAACGCCCTTTTGTTGAAGAGCACCACCCAGTGTGGGATGGTAAACGGTATCGATGCGACACATGTCTGCGGATAGTTTCTCCGATGTCGAGATTTTCGTGCAAAGCTCTACCAGCAGGGGTGCGCATGGTTTTGGATTCCTACCAACGCCTGCACCACTCTCTCCACATCGGGTGGCTGGATAACGGGTTCCCACTTCTTTTCTGCAACCGGTGCGGGGGCTTCTGTTCAGAGAGAGGAAGCCGAAAACTGCTCGACCCCAGGGGCTGCCAGAACAAAGTGACCAGTGAGCTCAGGAAGCTTAGGAAAGGACGTGTCCCAGGATCCCATGCCAGGATTCTCAAGGTCACTCCCTACAGGCCAAGTTCACTGCTCGGCACGACAGGTGCGTAGGAGACACTGTGTGGCGGTATCCTTGTTTTGACAGACGTGGCCGAGTACCCGGTCCAGGGTAGTTGCCCTCCCCGGATGTATCGGCCACGCGGCCGGGACAGGACAGGCAACACTGCTGTCAGGACCCAGGCTCCCTCTCCCGCCTCCCTTCCCCAGCCTTTCCTTTCTCCGCCCCCTCCCGAGGCGGCCATAAGCCGTAGGGCAGGGCCGTCTCGGCGAAGGCCTCGAGGCACGGGTGTGGAGGGACGGGGCGGGTACGGGGGGGAGAGGAGGGACATGGGGGGAGGACGACGACGGTCGGTCTGGGGCCTGGCAGTGCCCGCCCAGGGAGGCGGCTCGCCCAGGCGGCCCGACCCGATCGGCATCCATATTTTTTTTTGTCTCCTGCTGCTCCACGAGTGGCCTCGAGACCTTCCGTGCTACCGTGCTACCGAGCAGGAGGGAGGAGGAGGAGGAGGAGGAGGAGGAGGAGGAGGAGAGGAGGAGGGAGGAGGAGGAGGAGGGGAGGAGGAGGAGGAGGAGGGGAGGAGGAGGAGAGGAGAGGAGGAGGAGGAGGAGAGGAGGAGGAGGAGGAGGAGGAGGAGGAGGAGGAGGAGGAGGAGGAGGAGGAGGAGGAGGAGGAGGAGGAGGAGGATATCGAGGAGGAGGAGGAGGAGGAGGAGGAGGATATCGAGGAGGAGGAGGAGGAGGAGGAGGATTAGTGACGTGAGGCGCCGGGGGAGCGGTCTTAGGTTCGATGCCAAATCGTTAATGTCTCACTGCGGCGTACGCGGATGCGGGGCAGCAGAGCGAGCGAATTACACCGGGGAACGAGCCTTGCCGGGGGCACGTTGCCAAGGGCGAGGGACGGCCGCTGCCAGCGAGGGTCCAGCGGCCCTCCGTGGGGAGAAATTCAACGCGGAGTTGTCTGGTGGCTTCTGATTTGCTCCTTGCGTGATTTCGCGTTTGATTGCTTGTTTTGCTTATTTTGTATCTATCTCTCTTTCTCTTTCCACATCTCTCTCTCTCTCTCTCCCCCTCTCTCTCGATTTGCTCCTTTCCCTGCTCCGGGCTCCTGGTTTCAAAGATGCCGGCGGGATGTCAGAGATGGACTCAGACATCCAGCGCTCAGATTTGTTCGATGCGTGCGCCTCCAGACTTGTCGACAACTTCCCCACGACCAGGCCCGTCGTCGGGCCTGGTCGGCGTGGGCCGAGCCTGGGGCTTAGCCCAGGTTCGGCCTTCGCCAAGGGCGTGAGGCCTCGGCAGGGGTCCTTGGGGCTCCTTAGGTACCTCGCGGGGAACTTAATGCCTGACCCTTTCGGGTAACGTTCCCCTCCTTCTCCTCCTCCTCCTCCTCCTCCTCCTCCTCCTCCTCCTCCTCCTGTCTCTCCTCCTCCTCTTCCTCCTCCTCCTCCTCCTCCTCCCTTCGTCCTCAAGCACATGTGGCTCCGTCCTATCCGTAGGCCCCCTTTTTTTTGCGCTGGGTCATGGTCGCGCCCTGCGCCTCCGCGTGGCGCTTGAGGGACTTCAAGGCTGTCCGCACATCTGGCGATTCTTCTTTTATTGACGACGAAGCAGGGCAAATGAACATGCATAGTGTGCTACGGGAGGTTGGCCCTTGGATGGCTAGCCAGACGCCGTGCAGGCGGTCGCACGCCGTGCGGCGGGCCGCCCAACGGCGCGCTCGCGATTCTTGCCAGCGTGGGCTGCGGCGGGCGCTGCGCGCCAGGCCGCCTTTCCCGTTGCTGGCAAGCCGCTGCACTCGATGGTGACCACGCTGCTGCACAGCGGGAAGACGGGACCAGCCCTGAACATGTCGAAGGGCAACGTGTGGTACTCCTCAGTCCTGGAGTGCTTCGTGGGCAAGGCATGCGCGGCGGAGGTGAGCGACGGCTTGGGCCTGCGCGCGGACGCGGGAGTCTTCGATCCTGCCGCAGGGTGCTGGGAGCAGCTGCCCACGCCAGGAGCGCTATGCACCTGCGGTGCACTTGTTTTTCTCAGGCTGCAGGAGACGACAATTCAGTTTGCCAGATTGGGTGGGCAATGCACGGTCATGTATTTCCAAGAAATCAAGTCAGAACACAAACGTTCCCATAATGCCGATGGGCCAGGGGGCGCTGGTCAACGAGGCCCCTCAGGCGCCGTGGCTGCGCGCCGCACAGGCGAAAGGTGCACTGATCATCAAGACCCCTCGGACGCCGTGGCCGCGCGCCGCGCAGGCGACAAGGGCACTGATCATCAAGACCCCTCGGACGCCTCGGCCGATCGCCGCTCAGCAGGAGCAGCGTGGTGGGAAGCTCGTGCTCTTGTCTCTCGTGCCTGGCTTGCAGATCCAGCCCCTGTTGAGGGCACTGCCGAACAGCCGCAAGTGCCGACCGAGAGGGCCACCGCGGCGGTTCGACCTGCGACAGCTGCCCCAAGCTGGGAGTCCTGCGAAGGCCGTGCGAGACTTCTACTCGATGCTGATATCCTTCGTGTTGGGCCGTCAACCTCGTTCATTCCCAGTGGCGCGGCTGTGATTGATTGGTCCAGTGCTGCCCAACAGAACGATGGGCAAGACTGCAAGCAAATGTGATTCTCTCAGTGCGTTTGGTTGTTTCACGTACTTGTGACCTTATTTTACTATTCGATTGCAGCAGTCCGCTTTCCTTGTTCTGGCTGTATGGAGGGAAGCGGTGACATTTCTGCACGCTGTATCTGAAACGAGGTACCCGTACGACGTATCGTCATGTTCTTCGTACTTCTCGGTCCAATCTGTCAGTTCTGGGGCGTGGTGTCCACCTGCCATGGCGACCTCATGGGCTTCCCGTTCTTCGCGTGCCTGGAGAAACTCAGGGGTGGCGACAGGTGCTATAATCATATCGCTACGCGATCCAGAAGAGTCTCCAGAGTCTCCTCCTGCCGTCGTCCTCCTAACCGCCTCCTCCTCCTCCTCCTCCTCCTCCTCCTCGTCCTCCCGATCCCGCGTCGTCGTCCGACTGCCCCGGGCGGCCCGGGGGGGCGGCTCCCGAGGGGGCCCTTGCCGAGCGGCGGCAGACCCGCCGCCCCGCTGACGTTCGAGGCGCGGGAGGACTGGAGGGGAGGAGAGAGGGGGAAGGAGAGGGTGAGAGGAGGGAGGGAGGGAGGGAGGGAACGAGGGAGGGAGCGAGGGAGGGAGGAGGAGGCAGGGAGGGAGGAGGGTGGGGGGAGGGGGGGAGGGAGGAGGGATGGAGGAATGGGGAGATAGGAGGAGGGACGAGGGAAGGGGGAGGGAGGAGGGGGGAGAGGATGAATTTGGGGCGGCCCAAAGGGGGTCGATGTGTGTGTGTGTGGGTGGTCGATGCATTGCCGATGCATCGGCGATGCATCGTCGACATCGCCGATGTACGGGCGACGCCAGCACGACGCCGAGCACGACGCCGAGCACGAGGACGTCGACGACGACGACGCCGACCACGACGACGTCGACGCTGACAACGATGCCGACGCTGGCGCCATTGTCGACAACAACGACATCGTCGGCATCGGCACAGGCTCCACATCGAGCCGCATCGCCGATGCGTCGGCGATGCGGCGCGATCATCCGACCCGGGAGGGGCGCATGGCCAGGAGGAGCCGGGGGTGGCCCAGGGGGGGGGGCACGGTTGGCGTCGCAGATGGCGTGCGCGACGTGGCGCCGCCAGTCCGCTCGTGACACGCTGTCCCCCACCTTGGCGATGGCATGCGCCGAAGTGGCCCTGACAGGGGCCAGAGGGGGCCCTGGCGGGGGGATCGCCTCACAGGGATCGCGTGCTGTACGGAGACCGATGCTGCGCGTTGTCTTTCCAACGTCGGCCGTTCTCGTGGTCGGGGCCATGGGATCTGCCCAGATTTCATGACCCCCTCCTTCTTTTACTAACTTCAATGCGCCCCTTGGCCCCCCCCCCCGGGGCCGCGCTCGTGCCTCGGGCCACGATCTGCGAACCCACCTCCTGGACGCCCCCCACCTTCCTCGATGTGGGGATCTCTGCATAGTCACCGCCTGGACGGTCGGTTTTCGCAGACTTCCACAGGCTCTGGATGTGGACATATTGGAGAGGCCTTACGGCCGGTGCCGCCGACACTGAACAACGACGACGACGATGCTGACGTTGGTCAGAGTCCTCAGTGATGTTTCTTGGGGTCTCTTCGGAGCGCTCTCGGCTGCCTCTGGGGGTATTTTGGGGGCGCTTGGGAGCCTCTTGGGGGCCTGTTGGGAGGCTCCTGGGGGCCTCTTGGGGATTCCCCGGCGCATCTTTTGGGTTTCTTCGGGGCGTCTTGGGGGCTTCTTGGCCGAGCGCTCAAAATGTCCGTTCGGGTCTCCGTCTGGGCACTCTTGGAGCCGTCTTGGGAGCCTCTCGGGCCGTCTTGGAGACCTCTTGGGCCGTCTTGGGGCCCTCTTGGGTCGTTTGGGGCCCTCTCGGAGGCCCCTTGGGCTATCTTGGGGCGATCTTGGAGTGTCGGGAAGCCGAAAAGGCGAGAATCCCAAACACTTTCAAAAAACCTTGGGAAGATCAATCATTTTCGCCTCTTGGGGCCCTCTTGGGAGTGCTGTTGGAGGCCTCTTGGGGCGTCTTGGACACCCCTCGGGCCGTCGGGAGGGTGCTTGGGCGTCTTGGACCGATAGTTCGGCGATTCGCCCCCCGGGCGGGTGGGGGGCATTTTGACCCAGGACCCCCCCGGGACCCCCTCCCCGGTCTCCCCGGCGGGAAAGGGATCAAGGGATGGGGCTTCCCTTCGAATGAACTTCGACGTTGGTTATTGTCGTTTTGGCTAGCACGGTTGAAGAGAAAGGCCCAGGGTAAGAGAGGCAACGGCTGGCGCGTTGGAGAAGGAGACCCCGGAGAAAGCTTGGAATGGCGACGGCCAAGACGACGACGAGGAGACGACGAGTGAAACAGCGACGCATTAAAGAGCTTCTTCCACACGCCGACAGGGTCGGCGGATTTTGATCCCCAGGGGCCAACATTAATCCAGATCCGCCGCCCGCCAGGTCCTCAGGACGTCGGTTCCCAGGCGATGGATACCTATGCGACGTCAAGGAGGTTGGGGGAAGGAAAAACGCACTGACAACAACTGCGATGAGTGTGATCGTGATGAGATGCCACAATAGATCTCACTATCGATGCCACAACGAATTTCACAATCAATCTCACCATCGATTTCACTATCGCTCTCGATAGCGATCGCACTAATGATCGCACTATCAATCTCACAAGAGATCTCACAAGAGATCTCACTATCGACCTCACAAGAGATCTCACGAGACACCCTCGGGACACCACGATGGGGCGTCCCAGCCACGGCGGGCCACCCCCAGCCAAAGATCTGTTGTGAGCGATCTCACCATCGATCTCACTAGCGATCTCACCATCGATCTCTCGATCTCGATCGATCACGCAATCGATCTCACTATCGATCCCACTATCGATCTCACAACTGCACTCACCAGCTACCATCGAGACACCACGGCGGGATATCCGGACCCACCGTCGGGATCCCCCGCGCCACCGACGGGGCACCCCGCGCCACCGACGGGACACCGACGCGCCACCGATGAGACACCCCCGGCCACCGCGCGCCGGGGGGGAGGGGCGGACAACCCGCTCCACAGCCCCTAGCCACGGCGGCATCATTCCTCTCGCGCGCCCACGCAGCTTCCTTCGCTTCGCCCGCACGCACGACACGAACCAAAAAAAACCGAAACCGATTTCCCGGTGGGGGGTTCTCCGTACCACGGCGATCTCACCCCCCAACCTCCGATGCATGAATCCCTGCCTCGCATCTTCGGTGCGCGAGATCTCCGGGGGCGGCCAAGATGGGGGTGATGACTAGGGGGGTTGATATCATGGCGATGACCATGATACCTCCCCAGATTTCGCGGCGCCTCTCCTTACTTCAAGACGTCCTTGGCCCCCCCCCCCTTGGCCACGCATTTGCCGCCCGCCATGATTTGCGCGCCCCCTCTTGGACGCCCCCCGCTTGGACGCCTCTGAGATCTGGTGCGTCGGCCCATCCCGCCACCGTGCCTGCGTTATGGGTGTGAAGCCTACTGGGTGTTCGTTGGGATCTCCTGGGAGGCCTCCCTGGGGGCCTCCGGGAGGCAGCTTTGAAGCCTATTGGGGGCTTTTTCTTCGGGGGCCTCTTGGGGCCTTTTTTGGGCCTCTTGGGGGGTCTCTTTGGGGCCTCTTTGGGGCCTCTTTGGGGCCTCCTGGGCGCCTCCGGGGGTGCCTCTTGGGCGCCTCCTGGGGGGCGCTCGGAGCGCCTCGGAGGCGCGTTTGGGGGCCCGTTTTGAAGCCTCTTGGGGCCCGTTTGGGGGCCTCTGGGGGCCTCTTCTGGGCCTTATGGGGTCCTCTTGGGGCCTCTTGGGCCTCTTCGGCGCCTCCTGGGGGGGGCCTGGGGAAGGCTCGGAGCGCCTCGGCGGTGGCGCGCGCGCGGTGGCAGCCCCGGGAGGAGCCCCGGGGGCGCCCGTGCCAGGCCTCGTCGCTCTCCATACCGTCGGCGGGCGAGGAACGGAGTCGGGTGGGGCCGCCGCCGGCGGCCGCGTTCAGGTGGGGGGGGGCGGGGAAGGTCAGGGGCAACGATAGGGGGGGATGCATCGACCCCCAATCGCCCATTGATCGCCGATAGGGGCCCGATAGTCCCAATCTGCCCAGGAAGGTGCGGATTCACAATCTGAGGCCAATCGCCGATCTATAGGCGATGTATTGCCGATTCCAGGTCGACGCCTCCCCCCCTATGCCTATCCCCCCCTATCGTTGCCCTTCAGAAGGTGGACAGGAGGTTGGAGGATCGAGGAGGAGGAGGGGGAGAGGGTCCGAGGAGGGAAAGGTACCCACACCGCTACCCTTCCCTCTCGCTTTTTTTTTGGCCTCCCGGGAGGCCCTCGTCGCCACCGCTGGATTCGGCTCGAAAGTCTGGTCAGAGCGCACCCCGGGAGAGGTCCGGGGAGTTGCGGTATGGGTATCTTTTGGTTCCCCCAGAGGGGCCGCCGCCGCCGGTCGCGTCCAGGGGAAGGGGGTGGGCAGGCGGTTCGAGGTTCGAGGATCGAGGAGGCGGAGGAGGAGTAGGATGATGATGATGATGATGATGATGATGATGATGATGATGATGATGATGATGATGATGATGATGATGATGATGATGATGATGCTGATGCTGATGCTGATGATGCTGATGATGATGATGATGATGATGATGATGCTGATGCTGATGCTGATGCTGCTGATGCTGTGATGCTGATGCTGCGCTGACGCTGATGCTGCATGTGACGGATGCTGTGGGGGATGCTGCCGAGATGTGATGCTGATTGCTGCTGCTGTGTGATGATGATGATGCTGCCGATGCTGATGATGATGACCATTGGTGATGATGTGACGATGGATGATGGCTGATGATAGTTGATGATGATGATGACGATGATGATGATGATGCTGATGTTGATGCTGCTGATGATGATGTTGATGTGCTGCTGATGATGCTGATGCTGCTGCTGATGATGCTGATGATGATGCTGATGATCATGGATGCTGATGCTGATGAGATGATTGAATGATAATGATGATGATTAATGATGATGATGAAGATGATGATGATGATGAAAAAATCGTCACTGAAGATGTGCTGAGATGATGATTGACGACGATGAGACGGATTGGATGATGATGATGATGATCATGATGATGATGATGCTGATGCTGATGCTGCTGATGATGATGAATGAAGATGATGCTGATGATGATGGTGGTGGTGGTGATGATTATGATGATGATGCTGGTGATGCTGGTGTTGCTTATGATGAGGATGCTGCTGATGCTGATGCTGATGCTGATGATGATGATGATGATGATGATGATGATGATGATGATGATGATGATGATGATGATGATGATGATGATGATGATGATGATGATGATATGGACGACAATGGGAGGACGATGATGATGAGGATTATGATGTGATGATGATGATGATGATGATGATGATGATGATGATGATGATGATGATGATGATGATGATGATGATGATGATGATGATGATGATGATGATGATGATGAAAGAGGAGGAGGAGGAGGAGGAGGAGGAGGAGGAGGAGGAGGAGGAGGAGGAGGAGGAGGAGGAGTTGTTTCCTCCCTTCTTTGAAGGCCAACACAGCAGATTCTCAAAGCCTGGCTTGACATCTTCTGGTAATTTTGGTGTGTACGAAGGAGTCCCATAATACAGCCAAACACAGTGTATTTTTGCATTCAAGAGGTATGCGTGGTGTTTTCGCACAGTCGGACACAGAGGTGTCGTTCGTGACAGCGTCGGCCCATGGGCCGTGGTTAGTGTCCGCTCATGGAACAAGGGGGCAATCGCCCGGCTTAGCAGTGGTTGCTGGCGGTGTCACGAAAGAGGGGATAGTTGTTTTCTCCCTTCTGTGCAGGCCAAAACAGCAGGTTCTCAAAGCCTGGCTTGACATCTTCTCGTAATTTTGGTGTGTAAGAAAGGGTCCCAGTCTACAGCCAAACACAGTGTATGTTTGTATTCAAAAGGTACGCGTGGTGTTTTCGCACAGTCGGAAACAGAGGTGTCGTTCGTGACAGCGTCGGCCTGCCCCGTGTGGTTGGTTGTGGCAGGTCCTGAAGAGGATAGCCAACCACACGCCGAAACGCTGGAGACGGACTGGACCAGGGATGCCCGAAAGAGTGGGCATACTCAGTCCTAGACCAGCAAGGGAACCAAAGGAAGTTGCGCAGTCAACTGCAACTCGGCCACCCTGGCGCGGTTGTCCGTTGTCAGGCGAGCCTGAGGCGGGTGTACAAAGAATGCCTTGTATGCTGCACTAATATGGATATGCTTGGCAAATGAGTGGTTATCAGCCGAAAGTCTCTCCAGGAGCTCGTTTTGGGTGGTGCGGCCTTTTTCCCAACAGCCAGAGAGGTAGCAATGGTGGCTTTACCAAAAAGGGGGCTTCGCAGGTGCGTCCTGATTGACCACGAGCGCCTAACGCAGGGGTCGGGTGGCTCACACCTTTGGGCTGTGGTTAGTGTCCGCTCATGGAACAAGGGGGCAATCGCCCGGCTTAAATGCGGTTGCCGGCGGTGTCACGAAAGAGGGGACAGTTGTTTCCTCCCTTCTGTGAAGGCCAAAGCGCTTGACATCTTCTGGTAATTTTGATGTGTAAGAAGGGGTCCCAGAACACAGCCAAACACAGTGTATGTTTGTATTCAAGAGGTACGCGTGGTGTTTTCGCACAGTCGGAAACAGAGGCGTCGTTCGTGACAGCGTCGGCCTGCCCCGTGTGGTTGGTTGTGGCAGGTCCTGAGAGAGGATAGCCAACCACACGCCGAAACGCTGGAGACGGACTGGACCAGGGGTGCCCGAAAGAGTGGGCATACGAAGTCAACTGCTTCTCGGCGACCCTGGCGCGGTTGTCCTTTGTCAAGCGAGCCTGTGACGGGTGTACAAAAAATGCCTTGTATGTTGCACTAATATGGAGATGCTTGGCGAGTGACTGGAGGAGGAGGAGGAGGAGGAGGAGGAGGAGGAGGAGGAGGAGGAGGAGGAGGAGGAGGAGGAGGATCAGATCAGACGCCTATCGGGGCCGACGTCCACCTCGTCAGACAAATGGCCCCGGGACCGACCCACCGGCCTGAACCGGCCGCGAAGTTCAGGGTCCAGCCTGCCCACTGTTAACAGGGTGTCAAAACCCCTGACGTCACTTGCGCATTCTAGCAACGGAAACCGAGGAGGCGGACAGCAGCGCTAGCCACCAGGTCACCAAGCCCACGGTCAATAAGCGCTTGGACGGTCTTGCATTTCATCCGAGCACGCTTGGGAGGAGGAGGGCGAGAGGGCGGAGGATGAGGCTCATGGGAGGACCAGGGAGAAAGAGAGATACCCCTTACCTGGCTCGCGGAGGCGGCGGCAGCGGGGTCAAGCCTCGAAGTCACCGCACCGCAAGTGCAAATTCTCGATGACTTTCTCCATGGCGTCGAACACTCCGTCGTACAGTCTCTCAGACGCGTAGGACTCGTCACTGTCAGCAAACTTTCACGCGCCCTTGGGGTAGACGAGATATCCTGGATCACACTCGGCACCCGGCTCCAGACGCGCCATACAATTCAGATCCGGCTCATCAAAACAGCATGATTCATGCACATCGTTCTCGTCACACTCAGCATCACGGTCCAGCAAATCTAGTCCATCAGATTTTACTGAATAGTTTGGAGCACTCTTTCGAGGTGGTTCATCTGGGCACACTTTCTGGGAGAAGCCCAGCTGCACCAAGCAATCTATCTACGAGCAATCTGGGCGACCCGTTCTGCGTCAGCAAGATTTTGCAGTCGTTCTCCTTGAAGGCCGACTTCACCTTCACAAGGGGAAACTCGGTCCCCACCTCGCTCCGATTCTTGCTGTTCAGCTCCTGCTTTCACGCCTTGAGCTTCTCCTGGTTGCGAGTGCATTCTGACACTCTTGCAGCTTCGCACCCTTCGATCAACCCCACGATGGCCGCCACGCTGATGCTGCCGAGCTTGTCTACCTCCTCGTCCTTTTCGCGACTCCGTAAGTCCTGAGCAGCCTCCACCCACCCTCGTACTCGAAGCTTTGTCAGTGTCACAGGCGCCGCCGACTCTGGTCCGATCAGGGTGATCATGATGATGGACTCTTGCTTCCGCGTTCTCATCGAGAGGTTCAGTACGAGCTTCACCATCACGGGCACGATCTTGCGTACATGCTCGAGCTCGAAGGAGGAGGAGGAAGAGGAGGAGGAGGAGGAGCAGGAGGAGGAGGAGGAGGAGGAGGAGGAGGAGGAGGAGGAGGAGGAGGAGGAGGGGGGGACGCTTCAGCCAAGACGCACGGCTCGAGCTAAGCCGTGTTTGGGCGAGTTCGAGGACCCGTTTTCGTTTTGATTTCGTTTTGCACCAAAGGCGGAACGAAGGCAGAACGAGGGACCACGGACACGACAGCAACGTGAACATGGAAGGCACTGTTTAGCTTGAGCCCTGCCAAGACGCTCGAGTTCGCCCGACGTGCAAAAAGGGGGTTCGAAGATCGAGGAGGAGGAGGAGGGGGAGGGGAATGGGGGCAGGAGCCTCGAGGATCTAGGAGGAGGAGGAGAAGGAGGAGGAGGAGGAGGAGGAGGAGTAGGAGGAGGAGGAGGATGAGGAGGAGGAGGAGGAGGAAGAGGAGGAGGAGGAGGAGGAGGAAGAGAGGGAGGGGGGAGGGACGGGGGAGGGAGGGGGTGAGGGAGGCCACTCAGTGTGGAGGACACTCAGCATGGAGGGTCCTGGTGCTCTGCTGCTTGACGGTACGACGAGAGAGCGTTTGAGTTTTGTGCCAGCCGAGTGAATACATAGCCGCGCGAACGACTTAGACGTGATGGGTTGAACACATGCTGTCCGATCCGCTTGCGGGGCTTGGTATTTTCAGTTAGTGTGGAGGTAGTTTTGCTATCACTTATTTCGTTCACGCACTTGTCCAGAACCACAGGCGGTGACAGCCAAAATTGAGGAGGATCGGATACGTGTGGCAAGGATTATTGTGAAGGGCTGACGGCCGGTGCCGCCGACCCTGAAAGACATCGACGACGACCAGGAGGGAGGAGGAGGAGGAGGAGCAGGAGGAGGAGGAGGAGGAGGAGGAGGAGGAGGAGGAGGAGGGGAGGAGGAGGAGGAGGAGGAGGAGGGAGGAGGAGGAGGAGGAGGAGGAGGAGGCGGAGATGTTGAGGAGGAGGCGGAGAAGGAGGAGGAGGACAATGACTCCCACCTGGGACCCCCCCCTGGGGAGGAGGACCGGAGGAGGATCGGCGTGGGAGAGGGGAGGGGAGGGGGAGGAGGATCCCCAGGGACGGATGCGTATCTGACTCCGCTCCCCACCCTGGGACTCCTCCCCACCTGGGGAGGAGGTCCCGAGGAGGACCGGCGCGTCGGAGAAGCACCTGCGTGGGAGAGGAGGACCCCCAGAGGCGACACGAATCTGACCCCCCCCCCTACCCCCCCGGGACCCCCCCCCGCCAGGGAAGGGACAAAGGGAAGGGGCTTCCCTTTGACGTAATGAGGACGTGGATGGAATTCCCTGAAGCTGCGAGCCCGTTCCCCGAACGAGGAAGGGTGCTCTCTCTCTCTCTCTGTCTCCCCCGACGGGAGAGGAGGATGGGAAGGAGGGGACGAAAGAAGGCGCCCTGTCGACGGGACTGGACAGACACCCCACACACGCCGACAGGGCCAGCTGATTTCCAACACACGATTATGATATTGTGTAGTCATCGTGAATGCCACTGTGTGAGGAATTCCTTCTGGTCAACTCTGCTTCGTCGTTGGCTCAGCGCGGATGCCTCTTGTATAAATCAACGTGTTGACACATCGATGCCTGGAGTGCAGGCCGATCCTCCTGAGCAAGTGCGATCCCCTTGAGGAGAACTCGCCGCTGTCGGGCCCCGACGGGCCCTCCAAGGGCCCAAGGGCGGTCAAGGCACGGCCTGATGAAGAGCTTGTCCCGGGAGAGGCCAGTGGTCAGAGGAGGAAGAGGTGCCCATACCGCAACCCTTCGCCCGTATTCCCCTTGTTGGGTCTCTTGGGAGGCCCTCGTCGTCACCGCTAGATTTACCTCGAAATCGTGGTCAGAGCGCGCCCCGGGAGAGGTCCGGGAAGTAGCGGTATCGGTAATTTTCGGTGCCCCCAAGTGGGTCAGGTACAGTCGGACCGAGGTATTAGATCGAGGTTTGTTCGGGGAGTGTACCCCAACACTCTCCGTGCTCACTGGATGTTCTTGTGCATCCTGCGGAGGGCACCCTTGGATGTTCTGTGTGTCTTGGCTGGTGGAGGGCCTCATGTTCTCGAAGGATGTTCTTCTGGTCTACTAGGTCCCACTGTACACAACGATCCTGGGTGCAGGATTGGCGCAGCCAAGACCCGTGCCTGTGTAACCATCGGTCGTTGAAAGTAGGTATTCTTAGATTCCCAGATTCCATCTACTTTAGGCGCCTTCCTACTTCAATCACAAAACCAAAACAGACGCCCAATCCCAAAAACGCGAGGGCCAAGACAGAACGCAGGCTCCTCGAGACTTCGGGGAGGGAGATTTTGGGGCTTAGGGTTTGACCAGGGTGACAACGGCGAACGCAAAACATACCCCGAAATCTTTGGCCGATCTTCGAATCCTCTGTGAATCCGCGATTTTGGGGTTGGATGTGTTTTCTCTTGGTCATTCAATGATCGATTGGCTTCACCTGTTCCGTCCTCCTCAGGGGGCGGACGGAATTCAATCCGGCGTCACACCAACATACTTCTACTATAATTGCGTCGCCCCCTCAGGGGCGACGCGCGCACCGAGAAATCTTATAGTCGGAGGTGAGGGGGTGAGATCGAAGTGGAACGGAGAGCCCCCCTACTGGGAAATCGGTTTCGGTTTCGTGTTCGTGCGTGCCGTGCGTCCGGGCGAGGCGAAGCTGCGTGGGCGGGCGAGAAATGTCCCGCCTCTGGCTGAGGCGCGGCCGGACCAGAAGTCTCGCTTCTGGCAACCAGTACCGCGCGGTGTCCCGCTGGTGTCCCGCCGGTGTTCCGTCGGTGTCCCGATGATGATGATGATGATCACGATGTTGATGTTGATGATGATGATGATGATGATGATGATGATGATGATGGCTATGGTGGTGATGATGATGGTGTCCCGATGATGATGATGATGTTGATGATGCTGATGTTGTTGATGGAGATGATGGTGTCCCAGTGATGATGACGATGATGTTGATGATCCTGATGATGTTGATGATGATGATGATGAGATGATGAGATGATGATGGTGACGATGAAGATGATGATGATGATGATGATGATGATGATGATGATGATGATGGTGTCCCGATGATGATGATGATGATGATGATGATGATGATGATGATGATGATGATGATGATGATGATGATGATGATGACGAGGTTGAAGATGATGCTGTTGATGATGACGATGTTGATGATGATGATGAT